CCCTCCCTCCTCCAGTGAAACCTCCTGAGCCTGGGGTGCGGAGGGGCCACTCACCCCACGCCCTGACCGCCTTTGCCGCCCCCGCTCCTCTGGGGCCCCCAGCTCTTCTCAGCTCCCCTGTCCCTGGGCACCGCTGAGAGCTGCCCTGGTGTATGGGAGAAAGCTCCCAGCAGCTTCCCAGGGGTCTAGGTGATGCTCTCAGACTTACACGGCTCCTCTTTCTTCCTCCGCCTCCTCTTGTTCCTGACTGGGCCACCTCCTTGTCAGGTAGGTGTGCCAGCTTTGTTCTGTGGCACTGTAAGTTATCCTTTGTTCCTGAAGGGCCCGGCGCACCCCATTGAGGACCACAGGTCGGCCCGGCACAGTCTGCCTGAAGGACTGGGGCTGTGGTGGGGGATGAGGCTGCAGCTAGCTGTGGACCCCTAGTGGCCAGACCTGGCATGGCTGCATATGCACCTTGTATTAGGAAGGCTCCCTTTGGAATTGCTGCGGAACACACACACACACACACACACACACACACACACACACACACACACACACACACACACACACACACGGGTGGGGGAGGGAGAGAAGAGCGAGAGAAGAGAGAAGGAGAGGAGAGAGGGAGAGGAGAGAATGCTCAGTGGGGTGTGTGTGTGTGTGTATACACGTTTTTTTAAGTGCATGTGTACCTGTGCCACTGTGTACATGTGGAGGTCAAAGGACAACTTTTGGTTCTCTCTTTCAACCTTAAAAAATTTTTTTGAAGCTTTTTGTTTTTTTGAGACAGTGTTTCTCTATGTAACAGCCCTGGCTGTCCTGGAACTCACTTTGTAGATCAGGCTGGCCTCAGACTCATAGAGATCTGTGGTGATATTGTGTTCCCCAATATATCGTGCACCCTAATAAATTTATCTGGGGTCAGAGAACAGAACAGTCACTAGACAGACATAGAGGCCAGAAGATGGTGGCACACACACCTTTAACACTAGCATTTCAGAGGCAGAGATCCATCCTGATCTCTGTGAGTTCAAAGCCACACTGGAAACAGCCAGGCATGGTGACTTATGCCTTTAATCTCAGGAAGTAATGGCAGAAAGTAGAAAGGTATATAAGGCGTGAAAACCAGCAACTAGCCTGGTTAAGCTTTTCGGCTTTTAGCAACAGTTCAGCTGATATTCATTCTGGATGAGGACTCAGAGACTTCCAGTCTGAGGAAACAGGATCAGCTGAGGAATTGGCGAGGTGAGAAAGCTGTGGCTTGTTCTGCTTCTCTGATCTTCCAGCATTCACCCCAATACCTGGCTTCGGGTTTGTTTTTATTAATAAGACCTTTTAAGATTTGTGCTACAGAGATCTGCCTGCGTCTGCCTCCCGAGTGCTGGGATTAAAGGTGTGCACCATCATGCCCAGCTGAGATTTTATTTGTTTATTTTATGTGACAAGAGTTTGCTTGAATGTTTGTGTACCGTGTGTGCAGTGTCCATGGAGTCCAGAAGAGGGCATCAGATTCCCTGGGACTGGAGATACAGTTGGTTGTGAGTCACCATGTCGGTGGGGGCAAGGAATTGAACCCAGGGCCTCTGGAAGATTAGCCAGTGCTCTTAACTACAGAACCATCTCCCCAGGCCCATCACTCCATCTTCTTTGGGAGTCAGCTGACCCATGAGCTTCTGTGCAATTGCCTGTCTTCACGTCCCACATTACCATAACAGTGCCGGGGTTACAGATGCCACCAGTGTGTCTGACCTTCTGCACGGGTTCCAGGGATGGAGTTTAGGTCATCAGGATTGCACAGCAAGTGTGTTTGTCTCCTGAAGCATCTCTCTTATTTTGGACAGACTGGCTGACACCTTGGTCAGGTAGAGGGGACCTGGGTAAAGATAAAGCTATATTGATGGGAGATGCATAGAACATGATTTTCTGTTTTTCAGAAAATCGTTATTCTTGGGGCCTGGGGAGCTGGCTCAGTGGGTAAATTGTTTGCCTTGAAAGCATGAGAAAGAGGGTAGGATGGTGCACACTTGTAACATCAGGGCTGGGGAGAGAGAGGCCGAAGGATCTTTGGGGATTGTTTACCAGCCAGCATGGATGGCCTAATCGGCCAGTTCTAGATCAGTGAGTGAGAGACCTATATAGAAAAACTAGGTTCAGCTAGTGGTGGTGGCGGTGGCGGCGGCGGCGCACGTCTTTAATCCCAGAACTCAGGAGGCAGAGGCAGGCAGAGCTCTGTGAGTTCAAGGCCAGCCTGGTCGACAGAGTGAGTTCCAGGGCAGGCACCAAAGCTACAGAAAAACCCTGTCTCGGAAAACAAAGCAAAACAAACAAACAAAAAGTAAAAAAAAGAAAACAAAAATCAAACAAACAAAAATACCAAAGTGGATTGCTCCTGAGGAACAACACCCAAGGTTGACCTCTAGCTTCTTACATACACACACACACACACACACACACACACACACACACACACACTCACTCATACACACATGCACATATATACATGCACAGTAACACACACACATTATATACACATGTATACATATGCACATGCACACGTTCACACACACACACACACACACACACACACATCACCCTTTTCTTAAACAACCAACCAAGCTGGTTGGTGGTGGTGCACACCTTTAATCTCAGCACTTAGGAGGCAGAAGCAGGTGAATCTCTGAGTTTGAGGCCAGCCTGGTCTACAGAGCAAGTTCCAGGACAGCCAGGACTGTTACACAGAGAAACCCTGCCACAAAAAAACAAAACAAAACAAAACAATTCATCTAGTTTTTGATTCTAGGCTATGGGTGGAGAAGGATGCCAAGATCATTGCTCATCTGACTTCCCAGCAGTACCCCCAGCAGGAAGGATGGAGGAGAGCATCCTCCTCCCCACCTTCCTAAGTTCTGTCTGGTACCATGTCTTGCAGTCCCTAGTCTAGGTGACTGGTGTTGTGCCAACCACAGATGGTCCTTGGCAAATGTGACCCCTTTGGCCCTCCCGGGAGCCAGTGCTGCCCTGCTGCACACATCCCACGCCCGTCTGCAGGGATTCTCGATTCTCTCTCTCTCTCTCTCTCTCTCTCTCTCTCTCTCTCTCTCTCTCTCTCTCTCGCAGAGTGTCTGACTCCAATGCTGTTGCGTGGCCTCTTCCCCTCTCTCCTTTGTTGGCAGTGAGGCAAGAAGGGAACACTTGATTCCCCAAGAGTTGGCTGACATGACAGAGTTCCTGCCACATCCTGGTGTTGCATGGCTGACATGTGGCTGTGAGTACTGGAATGGAAGGTTCCAGCCTGCCCCAGGAAGGTCCCTGCCTGTCATTTGTGGTGATGTACAGTGTGTACCCCAATATATTATATACCCTAATAAACTTGCTTGAGGATCAGAGAACAGAACAGCCACTAGATTAAACACGGAGTCCAGGCAGTGGTGGCATACATCTTTAATGCTATCACTCACTGACGGATCTCTGTGAGTTCAGGGCCACACTGGGAACAGCGCCAGGCGAGGTGGCACACACCTTTAATCCCAGCACTTGAGATCTCATGCCTTTGCTTGGGGAGGACACACGCCTTTAATCCCAGGAAGTGATGGCAGGGAGCAGGAAGGTATATAAGGTGTGAGGACCGGGAACTAGGGGCTTTTGAGCAGAAGTTCAGCTGAGATCCATTTGGATGAGAACTCAGTGGCTTTCAGTCTGAGGAAACAAGATCAGCTGAGGAGTTGGTGAGGTTAGGTTGGCTGTGGCTTGTTTTGTCTCTCTGATTTCTCAGAATTCACCCCAATATCTGGCTCTGGTTTTTTTTTTAATTAATAAGACCTTTTAGCCAGCAGTGGTGGCGCACGCCTTTAGTCCCAGCACTCAGGAGGCAGAGCCAGGCGGATCTCTGTGAGTTCGAGGCCAGCCTGGTCTACAGAGCGGGATCCAGGACAGGCACTAAAACTACACAGAGAAACCCTGTCTCGAAAAACAAAACAAAACAAAAAATTAATAAGACCTTTTAAGTCTTCGTGTTACAGTCATTTAGAGTTTGCGTGGTCTCTGAACCCCACTCCACACCTGCTGCAGAGGTACCCTGTCCTTCTCGGTCTCTTTCTGCTCTGGGCAGCATCTCCCAAGGATGCTGACAGATCTCATGTTAGCCAGGGCTTGCTGGTACAGATACTTTCACCACTCCAGCTTTTGGGCCAGCAAGGGGGAGGCAGTCCACCTGCCCTGAGGTGCCATCTTTCATGACCTCATCTGTCTACCCCAGTCCCCCACGTCAACTGATTCATCCTGGCTTACAAAGCGGTGATGAGTGGGGTCCAGAAATTCAACAGGCTGTCCCTAGAATGTAGGTAGTGAACTCCCCATCAATAGAGAACATCCACATAGGGACTGTAGTGGAAAGGAGCCGTATATATAGGCAGGTGGCTGTTGAAAAGGGGCAATGTGGGGCTTTGCGCCTCCTCAGCATGGACCTTGGGCAAGCCTCCTGCCCGCACCACATCTCGGGCTCTTATGTGCCTCCCACTGTGGCAAGGGAGGCAGACCTGAGACTGTGTGGGTGGTGCAGACACAGCTGGCCAGTCATCGGGAGATACCCAAGAGGTTCCCCGCCTGCTCCAGACATCCCCCTTGAGCCCCAACTTCCTGGCCCAAGCTCCCTCTGTTCACCAACAGTAGACAGGGGGTGTATCCTCTACTTGCCCCCCCCCCCAGCCCAGAGGGCTTACTCTCACCCCAGGTCTTGCCCTTCACGCCTTCTATCTCCTCTGAGAAGCCTGCCTCATACTGGGCTCCTCAGTCTGGAGCCCACAGGCCAGCATCCCCAAGGATCAAAAGAGAAGGCAAAAGCAGGCAGGCCTATCTGTCACAGTCTTTATTTCCAGTTTCTAGTTTGACAGTCAATGAAAAAACTTGTTCAATGACAAGCCCCCTCCCGCCCCCCCCGCCATTCCCCACACATCACCTTAAGTGTAACAGGCCATTCTTCCATATATTATTAACTCTTTGCTAACCTATTTAATAGTTTAAATATAAGGATAAAACAATAAGTTACTTCATGGCTGAGGGCTGGTTGCTGCCGGCTGGCAGACAGGACTGTGGCTCTGGCCTTCCCTCCTGTCCCCTGCCTGAGGTGAGACCCGGAGGCCCCAGTGAGGTAGCAGAATTGTGTATACAGTAATTATTGCCAGGGACCCCAAGGCCCACTGCTTTGGTGCTGGGGCCCCAAGTCTCAGGGCACAGGCAGCAAACCATTCCCCCACCCCAATACTGACAGACTCATTTAAATAACATACAACCATAATAAATAAGATCAAGAAGAAATGTGCCCAAGCTGCTCTCTGCCTCAGTTGGCCTGTGTGAAGCAAGCCACAGGCACAGGGATGGACTGACAGAGGAAGTTGCCAGGCTGAGCCCCCCGGCACTAGGCAGGCCAAGGTCAAAGCTAAGGCAATCTTATCCCTTCCCAACCCTCCTCCCTGCCTCCCAAAGAAAAGTCGGATGTGAGAAAGAAAAATGGGTCCACAACTGAGATGACCAGGGCCTGTCTCTGGGTTTTTCTCTTGTCACTGGAAGGTGCCGTGTCGAAAAAGTTGCTTTGAGTAGCTGAGCAGTGTGGTTATAAACTGGACCACTTCAATTTTGGTATCTGGGAGGCTGGAAAGCTGTAAAACAACAGAGAGGCCCATCCATTAGAGGGACGCCAATGTCAAGGACAGCCAGCACCCACCAGGGGCTTTCCAGGGACTGTCCCGTACCATGTTCCCAAAAGTCCCTGCCAGGTGGGTTCTGGTTTTGCCTCTTTATAAATGTGGAAACTGAGGCTCAGGTAAAAGTTGGGAGCCCTTAAGCCCAGGACCAGTAACTCCTAAGACTGGGTCCCTACTGCCTCAGTGGACCCGCTCCTGGGTAGCTATACGCATGGGATGTTCAGCCAGGCTACCAGCAGTGAGGGATGGAGCAGGCCTTACCCCAGCCAACTTCCGGGTGCAGAGTCCACTCAATAGCCTCTGGGTCTTGTAGATGGGTTTGCAACTGGAGATGTTGGTCAGGGACTCCAGGGCTGCACAGAACTGTGGGAGAAGAGGGCAGGTGTTGGGCCTGGCTCAGGTTACAGGAAGGCAGTTGGACTGGCCAGATGGGTATGGGGGGTGGGGCAGAAGGAGCCTAGATTATGAGGAGTGAGTGGGTAGCTCCCCAGGCAGTGGTTCTCAACCTGTGGGTCATGGCCCCTTTGGGGGGGTCGCATATCAGAGATACCCTGTGTATCAGATATTTACGTATGATTCATAATAGTAACAAAATTACAGTTATGAAGTAGCCATGAAAATAATTTTGTGGTTGGGGGGGGGTCACCATAGCATGAGGAACTGTATTAAAGGGTCAAGGGTCGCAGCATCAGGAAGGTTGAGAACTACTGAGCTAGAGTTTGCTTTTACAGTTGCTTTCTGTGAAGAAGGATCTCATTCTATAGCCTAGGCCAGCCTGGAACTTGCTATATAGTCCAGACTGGCCTCAAACTCATGGTAATCCTCCTGCCTCAACCTCTCCAATTCTGATATTCCAGGCATGCGTAGCTCTGAAGGTGGTTTGCAAAGCCCTAGCTGCATGAAGAGGACTTGGAGAAAAGAAGGCCGAGACCCACAGCCGCCTCCACATCCCGAAGCCCGGGCTCCTTACCCCGCCAGCCGTCAGGTCCACGCTCCACACCATGCTGCCGTTGCATAACGGAGTCTGAGGAAACAAAGAGACCATGAAGTAGAGTGGGAGCAGGAGTCACGGGCCTCCCCCGGCCAGGCCAGGCCCACGAGCACCCCTAGTGTAGCACAGAGTCGGGCCCGACAGCCCCTCAACACTGTAAGCTCCAGAGGGGCAGGGGGCAGTCCTGGAGGAACTGGAGAGAGGAATGAGTGTCTATTGACAGGGAAAATGCCTCATCTGAAGCTTGCCACAGTCTGGCCAGGAGCGTGGGGGCCTATAGAGAAGGCCAGAGTGCAGTTTCGTAGAAGGGTGGGAGAGGCTGCTGTTGACCTGGTCAAGCTGAGGCAATAGGAGCCCGATGTATCTCTAGTCTGTTCTCTGGGATGCTATGTTAGAAACACACAGAGGAAGCCCCATAGGATTCTTGCAAGGCTTGAGTCTAGACTGTGACATTAACCTCCCCCAACAAAACGAAGGCGCTGTGCCTGCCTCTGGAGGTATCAGAAGGGACAACACAGCATAATACCAGGCTTAGCAATAATCAATGGTCGGACAGTGTGAGCTCATACGCCAGTGGCGTAGGAAATCCAGTTGGTAGATGCCAATGGCCCCGCCATTTTGAGAAAGTTCTCCACTTTGGTTAAACAGGGCAGTTTCTGGGAACCACAGTAATCAGCATTCCAGAACTAATGCAGCTCGTTTTCCTAGATTCTGGTCATCCCCCAGCCCCACTCTCGGCCCTCCTGCAGAACCTTGATAATGACTGGTCAACATGGAGCTTCAAGGACCACCTGGCACCCTCTGGCTCACCATTCCTTGATTACCCTAGCAAGCTCTGGATCCACATCCCAGCCCTCCCCTGTCCCTGTAACTAGCCTAGACTGTGAGAAGTCTGGGAGCTGTCTGGTTTCCCCATCTAGAAACCTCTCTTCCACAGGTTTTCTTGGAGAAAATCTGTCCCGTTGTAAAGATCTTCCCTTTGGGGGACCCTTCACTGACCACACTGTTGCCCCCAACCCCAAGCTAGCTTCTCTTTTCCCTCTATCATACATACAAGGCCAGACCCAGCCTGCTCATGACGTCTTCCGGGGAGGGGGAGGTGTGTTACTCACCCTCTGGTCTTGTGTGATGTTGCTCAGCTCCTCAATAAGCTCCTTGAGGGCCACAGGGGGCGGCATGGGTCGAGGCACGGGGCCTGGGGCGACGAGACCACCAAGGCAGGCGAGAGCCAGGACTGCAGTCACCCAGAGCGCCATGAAGCCCAGAGCCAACGAGAGAACCAAGGCGCAGAAGATCTGTAGGCTGGCTTAAGCTGGTGGCTTTGTGGCCGTAGCCTGTGGCAGCAGCTTTTATAAGCCCAAGTGGTGACGCCTCACCCCTGGTCGCTGCTTTGTTGGGCATTATCTGAAAACCACATCTTTACTCATCTTGATTTTTTTTTCTTTTTTAGCTTTTTTGGAAAATCCAGTGCCGTCTAAAGGAAAGAGTCTGATTTAGTGGATTTATTGAGAAGGGTCTGGGACAGAGTTTCCAAGATAGTGGTGGCTTATTTCCCAGGTGGGCATCAGCAAAGCCAGCTTTCGCCCCAATAGTTCCACCTGGTGACCACCACCCCAAGCTCCTGGGCAGCCAGCCTAATACTGACCCCTTTGGGTTGCTAAGTACCTGGCAGCCTCTGGGCACATGGCAATATCTGTCTTCTGTGAGAATCGGGGACATTTTCTTCCCTTTCTCTCCCCCCCCCCTTCTTAATTTCAATGAACATATCTCATAAATCATCAAAGGACACAGAATTCAAACCGGACAGAGGGAGTAAGGGAAATTCACTTCCGTCCACCCCACTGCTCCTCGGCTTCACAGGTGGGAGGGATCAGAGGAGTTCATACTGTACAAAGTTTATTGTGACGCAGCCAGCTCAGGTATTCCCCAGACCTTTCATGTGTAAAACTGTTCTGGTGCCAATTCTGTCAACGGGCAGCCTTCTCTCTTGGCCATTCTGCTGGGACCCTATAGCTGGGCTGGGTAGGCATCAGGCTGCTCCAACTCCAGCCCGAGTCAGAGAGCATGATACGGCCGGGACTGGGGCCGCCACACTTGCCTCCTTCTCCGCAGAAGCAGTGCTGGCCTTCTAGGGCCTCAAACTTCCCCGAGTGTTCAGGATGACTGAAGGGCAGCTCCTGGGCCTGTCTCCTGCAGGCAGCCCTCAGCTGCAGGGATGCCAGCACATGACCTTTTTCCTATTCTTTCCTCATCCTCAACTACCACCCTCTGCAGAGGCCACAGCATTTGCCTACTGGGGAGTGACTCAAGATGCACCCTCACCTACTTCCTCCCTTAGGCCAACAGCGGCCCCTTCATGCCCCTCTCTTCTTTCTCAGACTCTTCCCCGACTCATTTCTTCTCCTCAGCCAGCCTCCATCTTCTCACAAAGGTCCTCAAGGGACTCTGGCGCCCTCTCTCCTGCAGGACCTAGCCTTGCCCAGCTCTCTTCTCATGGGAACAGCATAGGCAGCTCTCTCTCTCCATAGTGGAGGCTTCCCAGCCTGTCTACAGACCTGGGAACTGGACACCTGCCTCTGCCCCTGGCAGCCCCACAGGTCTTGGAGTTCTTTGCCTAGATAAGTGACCCCTTTGGGGGCCTCAGTTTCTCATTCTGGAGGACAGGGCGGGCGGCAGATCCCTTGGAGGTCTCCTCGGTGGGGGAAGGCTCGGGGAAACACCTCGGGCGGTGCATGCATGAGTCAACGCGCCCCTGCCCCTCAAGACAAGCAGAAGGCGTGCGGGGAGCAGCGGGTAGGCGCCCCCGGCGCGTGGGAGAAGGCGCGCTGGCGCGGCGATGGCCCGCAGAGATAGGGGCGCGGCCTTATGTAACGGGAGATGGGGTCGATAAGGGGACGTGCGCCCCGCCTCCTCCACGGTCTCCGGGAAGGTGCGGCCAGAGCTGCCCCGCGGGGAAGCGGCCACCACCCTCGCTGCGCAGCAGGACGGGCCCCGGCTGGCCCAGTGTCCCAGTGCCCTTGAGCACCCTGGAAGATCGCGCGTCTGCCCCTGCCCCTGCCACGACCACCAGGAGAGGGGCCACCGCCCCCAGGCCCGCTGCAGTGGGAGAGAACTTCTCTTTCGGTTTTTTTTCCCCCCAGGCAGGGGTTCCCTGTGTAGCCCTGGCTGTCCTGGAACACACTATATAGACCAGTCTGGCCTCGAACCTGGAAATCCTCCTGCCTCTGACTCCTAAATGCTGGGATTAAAGGTGTGTGCCACCACCACCTGACACTTCTTTTGTTTTTAAATCTTCATGTTTCCGTAAGTTTAAGGTGGTGTGCTTGGCTGCTTTCGTAGCTGCAAGTTGGACACACCTGCTGAAACTCCAGGCCAGCCCGCGCTGCAAAGCTAGACCTTGTCTCAAAACACAGCAATCAAAAAGCCGGGGTGGCGGCCCACGCTTTAATCCCAGCACTTGGGAGGTAGAGGCAGGCAGATCTCTGAGTTCGAGGCCAGCCTGGTCTAGAGAAAGAGTTCCAAGACAACCAGGGCCACACGGAGAAACCAATAAACAAACAAATAAACACAAAAACTGTGTGTGTGTGTCTAACTTCCTTGCTGTTCTTGAGTGTGAACTTTGCAGATGACAATGGCAGAAGATTGGATACGTTTTTAGACCAAGATAGCCTTGAAGCTGTGGCAATTCTCCTGCCTCTGTCTCTGGAGTGCTGGGATAAGTGCCAGGATTGTGCTTCATATCCAGCTGTGTTCAATCACCTATTACACCATGAGAAACCAATTTACACAGGGTGTGGCCTGTGCTCGGGGCACCCACGGGCCCATGGCCTGCAGCTGGGCAGTTTGCGGGTTTCCAGAAGTAACTTGGTAGGGGAACGTTCCTGCCTGCCCTGCTGCTCGCCTTGGGACCAGCTGGAGTTTCAGGACCACTCCCGCTCTTGCTGGATCGCCCGGGGCTCTGGGTCTCTTCTGCAAAAGTATGGGTGACAAATTGGGAGGAGTGCGACTGTATGGGTTGTTTTGTTAAGTACAACTGTTCATTTGATTTTCATGGAAGTTATACTTGCCAGGAATTTCAGAAAAGACACGATATGGGGCAGTATGGCTCTCGGTCTGCACAGCACACATACAGGAAGAGAGTCCATCCTCCTCAGAGCAAAAGGCCAGGTCCCTGAACCGGGCTTCCACGTTCCTGCTCCAGCCCACCGTATGTGCCGGATGGTCTGGCTCCCTGCACATGCTAGGAGAACTGGTATCCTACCCATCTCTGAGCCAGGAACACCTCTTCTGCTGGCATCTGTGAAACTGCGGCAGTGGACGTCCTGAATTTGTAAGTAGGATACAAATGTCGGGTGCTACAGGGTTTGTTGTTACTTTGTGTTTTTGGAGTCAAGGTCTCCCCATGTAGACCCCACTGGCCTCAAACTCAGTGCCATCCTTCTGCCTCCGCCCTGAGTGATGGGATTCGAGGTTTTCGGTCACCAGGTAGTTTTCTGTTTTTGTTTTTCAGTGGTTCACCTCCTCGGAAGTCTCCTGTGGCCCTGGTTGGGAACCTCTGTCCTTCCAGGCCACCTGGACACAGGCAGTTTGCTGTGCCCCCTACCCCCCACACTCTCCTAGTCCTTGCTTCCAGATTTTCCCCTTTCTCAAGGAGATACCTGTAGTAACTTTCTTTTAGATTGTGGTTTTGTCCAAGGCAGGGTTTCTCTGTGTAGTTTTGGTGCCGGTCCTGAATCTCGTTCTGTAGACCAGGCTCTCAAACTCATGGGGATCCTCCCAGCTCTGCCCCCCAAGTGCTGGGATTAAAGGTGTGCACCACCGCCACCTGGCCTGGGTTTTTTTTATAAAGTTAATTTTAACTGATATACAAAACCATGGAAGTTGTGCGTATTAATGGAGGAGCCATGTGATGTCCAGTTCATGTAGACACCATGGGATGCCAGAATCAGGTTAAACATTCATCTTCTGATGGGTCTTTTGATGTCTATGTGTGGTGTGTGTGTGTGTGTGTGTGTGTGTGTGTGTGTGTGTGTGTGTGTGCGTGCGCGCGCGCACTTGTCTCTGTGTACGTATGTGTGCACACACACAGCTGGTTGGCTATAGATAGCTACTCCTATCACTCTCCATTATTTTTTTGAGACAGGGTCTCTCACTGAAGCTGGAGCTTGTTTCAGCTAGTCTGGCTGGCTAGTAAACCCCAGGGCTACTGGTGTGCTCCACCATGCCCAGCCTTTATATGTGGATGTGGAGGATTTGAACTCGGACCCTTACTCTTGCATGGCAAGCATTTAACCCACATTGAGCCATCTCCCAAGCTCCTTCTGAGAGCTTTCTAATTAAAGGAGTGTAAGAGGTAAAGTTTTGAGAATGTGTGTATCTAAATATCTTTACTTTATTTTTTAATTTTATTTATTTATCTATTTATTTATTTATTTGGTTTTTCGAGACAGGGTTTCTCTGTGTAGCTTTTGGAGCCTGTCCTGGAACTCGCTCTGTAGACCAGGCTGGCCTCAAACTCACGGAGATTCACCTGCCTCTCCCTCCCAAGTGCTATGATTAAAGGCCTGTGTCACCACCACCCAGCAAATATCTTTATTTTAATATCAAATAAGTGCACAGTGTAGCCAAGTATAAAATTTTAGATGGGAAACCATTTCTTTCAGAATTTTAAAGGTCTATCTTTCTGAGGCTCCAGAACCCAAGTCCTCTGAATTTATCTTCCCTCAGCCTTTCTTTGGAAGGTGGATGGATTTTTTTAGTCTTCGTGGCTCCTGTTTCCAGTGATGTGCTTTGGAGTGGCCAATCTTGTCTGCTGTGATAGACGTGCACAAGACCTCTGGCCCAAACTGACCAAGCGCCTCTATCCTCCCCCCTTTTGCCTTTACATGGCACATAAATTAGAACCATATGTGTGCATATAAACACACACACACACACACACACACACACACACACGCGCCCCCCTAGGGCAGGGAGACTCTTTCCTGATTGGAACTGTTGTGGTTTTCTTTGTGTTTTATGCTTCTTGGAGTCTGGTCTTCAACTTTTTCCTATCATTTCTCCTCTGCTCTCCATTGGAAACATGTCCCTCTGCTGGTTTATTTCCATAGCCTTATTTTTTTATCCCAAGACTATTTTATTCTTTGGGGCTGGGGGAGGTGTGCGACTATCATGTTCTTTTTTGCTTTGGTGAAAATCTGAGATGGTCTAAGAATTTGTGAGTTGTCCGTTTCCTTCTCCTGGTTAGTCTTCATTTCCTCCAGTGTTTGTTTGTTTACTAGCATTGGCAGTTGACACAAAGGCCTTTCGCATGCCAGGTACACAGCCTGCCACCGAGCTACACTCAGTCCTCTTCCGCTTTGTTGTGTTACAGGTTTCCCTTGGAGTGTAGGTGAGCGTTCATTACCAGTTCCAATTGCCCCCGCTGTGTGCGTGCGTGTGTGTGTGTGTGTGTGTGTGTGTGTGTGTGTGTGTGTGTGTGTGTGCGCGTGCGCGCGCGCGCGCGCGCGCGCATGTGCATAGTTTTGCCTGTGTGTATAGTCGTGTCTGTGTGCACTCAAGCCCACAGTTGTGAGTGGAAGGGTGCACATGTGTGTGGAGGCCAGAGGTTGATGCCGGAATTCTCCACCTTATTTATTTATTTTTTTAAGGTGGCTCCCTTACTGAACCTGGGGCTGATTCCCTAGAATGGCGTCCAGCTAGCCCCAGAGACTGTCCTGTTTCTGCCTCCCCAGTGCTGGATTAAAGACACACAGGGATGTGGCCAGTGGATGCCATGGGTGCCGTGGATGCCGGGGGTGCTGTGGTCTGAACTCGGTCCTCGTGTTTGTGCAGCAGGTACGTTGCAAACTGAGCCATGCTCCAGCCCCTGTCCCAGTGTTAGAAATTAGTTAAGGTTAGGTCCTGTTATTTATTTATTTATTTATTTATTTATTATTTTTTGTTTGTTGATTTGAGACAAAGTCTCACTGTGTAACCCTGGCTGGCCTTGAACTCAACAGAGAACCTCCCACCTTCTACCTCTGGAGCACTAGAATCAAAGGTGTGTGCCACCACTCCCAGAGAGGTCCTATGAGATGATGATGATGATGATGATGATTTTGGATAAATTGAATGCTCTTTATTTAAAATTACTTAAATTTCCTGGCACACCAGGTATGGTAGCCACACCTGTAACCTCCGCACTCAGGTTGAAGCGGATGATCATGGGTCTGAGGCTGTCTGTCCTGCCTGAACTTTTTATTCTTTCCCTTCTTCTGTCCCGAATCAACTTCTTCAAGGAGCCTGGCTTGTTTTCTTGCAGTGGGTGTTTTGAGATCGAGATGCAGCACTCCATGCATCATTTCCAGCATGGCGCCACATGTTAGCCCTCTCAGCAGACAGCTAGGATGTACTAGGCACACTGACCCACACTAACTGTCTTTCTCTGCGTGCCTCTCCTCTGCACTTTCATTAACATACATATAAACCTTACCTTCTCCCATTTTTTTATTTATTTTTGGCTTTTTGAGACAAGGTTTCTCTGTGTAGCCCTGACTGTCCTCGTACTTGCTCTGTAGACCAGGTTGTCCTTGAACTCAGATCCATCTGCCTCTGCCTCCCTGGGATTAAAGGTATGAGCCACCACTCCCTGGCTAGTAGTATCTTCTCCCATTTCTACTTGTGGAGGTCAGGATTGTTAAGCATTCACACTGTGCAACTGAAGCCCAGAACTCTCCATCCTGAGAAACAGAGCCTGCCACTTTCCAGATCCCCACCTCGCCCAGGCTCTGGGAGCATTGTTACTTGGATCTCTATAAACATGCAGTAGTTTTCCCTTTGTGACTGGCTTTGTGACTTGGCCTAACGTCCTCAAGGCTCCTCCACGCTGCTGTGTGCATCAGAATTTCCTTCCTTTGTAAGGCCAATATTTCACAATATGAAGATCGCGAGTGTGTGGTCTGCTTCTGACGCTTGGCTGCTGTGCCAATCTTAGATCTCTGAGTGTGCTTTCAGTTGCTTTGGGTATATTCCAGAAATGGGACTGATGAATCCTACGCTAATAAAAACATTTATTTGTATTTATGTGTCTGTGTGTGTGTATACTCTGCGGGTTACAAGAGGGTGTGTCAGGC